AATGATAAAGATTTTTGCTTTTTGAAAATTTGAGGCATCATTTTGGCTAAATGGATGACTTACTGTAACCTGAAATTCAGTGTTTTAAGCCTTTATCATATTTGATAGGCACCCCAAAATCAAATTTCAGAGTCAAAATTGTCTTTTCTAACCCCTGACTTTTGGATGCCTCGGAGCGCCCCTTGAGCATCCAAGGGAGACGGAAACAGGATGACTGGATACGTTTAGTGACATAGGTTTGTCAGAATACGGTGGTGTTTAATCTCCAGGTTCCAGTTTAGTGTGCAATGTTAATATGTGTTCTAAAATGCTGTGGGATTTATTTATTTTTATTTATTTTTTCTTTTTGAGACAGAGTTTCACTGTTGTTACCCAGACTGGAGTGCAATGGCGTGATCTTGGCTCACCGCAACCTCCGCCTCCTGGGTTCAAGTGATTCTCCTGCCTCAGCCTCCTGAGTAGCTGGGACTACAGGCACGTGCCACCATACCCAGCTAATTTTTGTATTTTTAGTAGAGACGGGGTTTCACCATGTTGACCAGGATGGTCTCGATCTCTTGACCTTGTGATCCACCCACCTCGGCCTCCCAAAGTGCTGGGATTATAGGACTGAGCCACGGCGCCCGGCCTTTGGTGTGGGATTTATAAAATTCTGATTCTGAGTGTGTATTATCAATCATAATTATTTGTTATGTTAGATTATTATGACCAAAATTGCTCAGAAGTGACCAAATTTCTTTGTCAATTGTGTTTTTTTCTGTGACTGCCGTAGGACATCTTGACACTCACCAATTGTCTTGTTCACAGGATGAATTATACTCCTCAAATGCAGGTTTCTAACAGCTTTGGAGATTGGGAGCAGCACTTGACCAGGTGAACTGAACTAACTGAAGACTGAAGTCATCTCTCTCACTTGGAACATCAATATCTGTATGTTCTGTGTTTCACAATCAATTTCTAGCATTTGACAATTGTGGGGTGTGAATCAATCGTGATTTCTGATTGCAACTCAGAAGAAACAAAAGGGATGGGGTTGTCACACTCCAAACGTCCCCACAAGTGGAGCCTCAGAGGATGGCTCCCTAATGCTGGAAACCCTCAGGCCTCTGAGAGGGCCCTGGCTGCCGCTTTACCAAAACAACTCCCCTTTCAGCACCATGCACTTAAGAACGCTCATCATCCCTAACCTAATGGCAGTTAGATGTACGTCTTCAGAGGGTACAGGTGTGGTGGCCATCTGGTGTGGCTGCTGCCATTGTGCCAGCTGCTGCAGGGAGGGCATGGGGAGGAGGCAGGGAGCCCCTCATAGCCCACTGGCTCTGTGGAGCAGGCAGCCCTGGATGTGCCTCCAAGACTGGAGCAGGACAGCAGGGAGAAGTGAGGCAGTAGGAGCAGACACTTCTGAGCTTGTGAGGGGCAGACCTTCCCAGGACAAGAGAACATGGAGGCCCTGGTCTACAGCCCCAACTTTGGTGGTTGAAGCTGTGCCTGGGTGTGCCTGGGGCTGCCACACTAGGCCTGGGCTGGCTGCCTGCCTGCTGGTGGGGGAGCAGCACAGGTGGGCGGAGAGGAGTTCCAAGGTGCAGCTGGGTCCAGGGCAGTGCCTCGCTAGTCCACGGGTGTGGGGGCTGGCCTGGGAGGCGGAGCTGGGATCAGATTTGGGGGCCTGGGGCAGGAAGTGGGAGTGACACCCGCTTTGGGGACCTAGCCAGCAGTGCAGTGACTGCACCCACCCCACCGAGGGTGCCAGGTTCCTGGGCCTTGGGAGGAGGCTCTGCGTGGGGCCTCCTGAAGATTTGCCCCACATCAGTGTGCCTGCCAAGCCTGATACTCCTGATGGCCGGGCCCTGGGTCCATGATCTGCTCCACTCTGGGCCATCCCTGATCACCAGGGATATGGGGGAGCTGTGGCAATGTTGTCCCTGCCCCAGATGCTGGCCCAGGCCCAGCGAGGAGCTGCAGCCCCTGCCGTAGGCTGCCAGAGGGCACAGCTGGGGCTGCACACTTCACGGAGCCTGCGGGAGGGGGAGCAGGCAGAGACCTGGCCCACCCCAGGCACAGCTTCAGCCACCAAAGTGGGGGTTGTAGACCAGCACCTCCATGTGCTCTCGTCCTGGGAAGGTCTCCTGCCCCACACAGGCTCAGAAGCGCCCGCTCCTACTGCCTCACTTCTCCCTGCTGTCAGGCCTGCTCTGATCTGGGAGGCGTGTCTGGGGCTGCATGCTTCATGGAGCCAGTAGGAGCCTGGGACAAGCAGAACACCCCCACCCCCAGCAATTTGGTGGGGTGGGAGCTTCCTGGGTGCAGCTGCAGCCACCCTCCCAGGCACGGGACCTGAATGTCTCTATCGTCTTCACCCTTGGGGGCCCAGGAAGCCCCCATGTCCCTGCAGGCTCACGGGTGTTTGCTCCCATGGCCTGGACTCTCCCCATTGCCGGCACCCAATCCGATCCTGGAGCAGGGTTGGAGTTGAGCCCAGGCTCTGTCACAGACCAGCCAGGTGTGTGCATGCTTGAGCCCTACTGCCGTGGCCCCCTCTGGACTTTGGGCACCAGCAAGTGCAAGGGGGAAGCCATGAGTGGGGGTCTGAAGGTGGCTCAGCGTTGGCCTGCAGGTGCCCCTTGGTGCAATCAACTCAGGCACCATGGCTGGTGGCAGGAGGCAGTTGTGCTCCTGGGCAGAAGGGGGAAAGTCCCCAGTGAGGCCCCACCTTGCCACCAGTCACAGACATGGACCCCAAAGATTCCATAACACTACCACAAGAACAGTATGGGGAAACTGCCCCTGTGATTCAATTATCTCCACCTGGCCCTGTCCTTAACATGTGGGGATTATTACAATTCAAGGTGAGCTTTGCGTGGGGACTCAGCCAAACCATATCGCCACAGAACCAGTCATTCCTTTATCTCCATGTCCCTGAGGCTAGGGTGATATCCTTCCAACATCCACCCAAAGGGCTGCAATGTCCCCACAGCAGCTGGATCTAGCTCTGAAGCTGCGACCTCAGCACCCAAGCCCACACATTGCCCTACATCCCAAGGAATAGGTGGTTCTGCACAGCACAGTGGCTGACCCAGGGCCGAGGGAGTCACCACGCATGCTTCCCAGAGCCTGAGAGACAAAGGAAAACAAATTCAGGAAAATAAAATTAGGAAAACAATTTAGAATCTGAATGAAATTCAACAGAGGTCAGTATTATCAAAAAACCCAGAAATCTTGGGACTAAAGAATTCAACAATAAAAGAAAAGATACAGTTGAGAGCTTCAATAATAGACTAGATCAAAGCAGAAGAAATATTTCTGGACTTGAAGACAGATATATTAAAATACGAAGTCAGAGAAAAAATTAGAAAAAAAATAAAAAAGAATGAAGTAAGTCTATGTGACACATGGGACACCATTAAGTAAAAAAAGGTTTGCATGATAAGAGTTTCAGAAGGAAAAGAGATGGAACTAATGAAATAATTGAAAATTATGCTAGGTCCATAAGGTCCACAGTGATATGGACATTCAGATACGGTAAGCTCAAGACACACAAATAGATTCAATCTAAAAAGGTCCTCTCTGAGGCACATCGTCGTCAAACTGTCAAAAGACAAAGAGGGAATTCTAGAAACACCATATGATCTCACTCATATTGATAGCTAAAAACTGCTGATCTCACACAACTAGAGAGTGGAATTGTGGTTACTAGGGGCTGGGACAGGCAGCTGGGGAGGACAGAGACAGGTTGGTTAACATATAAAATTACAGCTAAATAGGAGGAATAAACTCTAACGTTCTACAGCATTGCAGGGTGACTATAGTTAACAATAATTTATTGTATATACTCAAGTAGCTAGAAGAGAGAATTTTGTGTGTTCTCAGTACAAAGAAATGATGTAATTGCCAGAAGATGTGGCTCATGCTTGTAATCCCAGCATTTTGGAGGGCTGAGGCAGGTGGATCCCTCAGGAATTTGACTCCAGCCTGAACAACATGGCAAAATCCAATCTCTACATAAAAATACAAAAATTAGCTGGGTGTGGTGGCAAGCACCTATAGTCTCAGCTACTCGGGAGGCTGAGATGGGAGGACTGCTTGAGCTCAGGAGGTGGAGGTTGCAGTGAACCAAGATCATGCTCCTGCACTGCAGCCTGGGCAAAGAGCCAGACTCGGTCTCAAAATAATAATAATAATAAAATAAATGTGTGAGGTGATAGATATACCAATTACCCTGGTTTGATCATTGGGCCAGGCATGGTGGCTCACTCCTGTAATCCCAGCACTTTGGGAGGCCAAGGCAGGTGGATTATCTGAGGTCAGGAGTTTGAGACCAGCCTCACCAAAATGGCAAAACCCTGTATCTATGAACAATACAGAAATTAGCTGGGCATGATGGCAGGCACCTGTACTCTTAGCTTCTCAGGAGGCTGAGGCAGGACAATTGCTTGAACCTGGGAGGCAGAGATTGCAATGAGCCAAGGTCGCACCACTGCACTCCAACCTGTGAAACAGAGTGAGACTCCATCTCAAAAGAAAAAAATCACTCTGTATCTCATAAACATTTGCAGTTATTACATACTAACTAAAAATGAATAAATAAATAAAACTAATGGCTTCTATTGTGTTTTCCATAGAGGCAGGGTCTCACTATGTTGCCCAGGCTGGTCTCAAACTCCTGGCCTCAAGTGGTCCTTTCACCTCAGCCGCCCAAAGCGCTGAGAGGACAACCGTGAACCACTGTGGCCAGCCCCCGCTTCTATTCTAATGGCCAGAAATGTCAGATAAAAATTATTCCAAATGCCTTTCCATAGTCTGAGCACCATGAGTGCCAGGAGCTGACCCTATTAAGGAAGCTTTGATATAGAGTTTCTTTAAATATTTCAGAAACAGTGTCGAAAAAAAGATGACATTGATTTGGGAGAAATGGTATAATATCTACCCAGTAGAAGAGACTAAAAGTTATTTGTATATTTAAAGATTAGCATTTTATTCTCATTATTAATGTGACACAGAAATGTAAAAAAAAAAAAATATGTCCATGATACCTATGTATGCAGAAAGTAATAAGGGCAGAAATGCCCTGGGCCTGGTGGAGCCCAAACCATTTCCTTGCTTAGCCTAAGCACTTTCACGTTGAAGTTTCAAGACTGTGTTTGTGGTGATGCATTCCCCTGTCGACCTAACCCCATGCTCTTCCGGGACCCCACTCCCACCCACGCACTCCTGCAACTCAGTTTCCCTCTCTCTCCACTTCCTGTGCTCTTCCTTCCATCTAAAAGTTGTCCAGCAGCCCCACTCCCTAGAAACTGACAGCCTGCGTGGTTCTCTCAGGTGTAAATTTTTTTCAAGCTTTATGCAATATTTTTTCCAACCACATTTTATATAAGTTCCTCAAAACCAGAAACTTTACTCTTCCATATTAGAATTCCCAAAAACTGGCAGAGTATCTGACATTAGGTAACCCAGAGAAGCTTTTCAACTGATTTTTATTTTTATTTTCTTGGTAAATTATTAACATCTCTGCTTTTCAGCTACTTCTTTAAATGAAATGCATTAAAAACGCATTACCCAGATTTTGATTATAACAACATGGTTTCATGTTTTAGTTTCACTCCATAATGAAAAATTTAATTATAGTGTTTATAATTCTTATTAGTGAACTTGACATCTATTTTCACATACAAATAATGGCAAGTCCGTGAATCTAATTTGAAAGCTAAATTAAAAGTTTCTTTCAAAATTATTCAATTCCAATTCTTGATGGATGAATTATTTGCCTTTTTAAATTTAAACTGAGGGATTTGAAAACTGACATCTTTATTTAATTGCCTTGTTTTGTTCTAGTTACGTTAATGCAAAACATTAGTTTGCAAAGGAAGAATGGATTCTAGACTTATTACAGTAAATTGCATAAACAGTAAAATATTTTGTCAGCTGCAAACTATAAAAACATTTATTTTTTCCATCAGAAGCCATTTTAATTTTCAATACTCATCATTGTACAAAAGCATTTGCAGCTATTTCTACTAACTGGTGTTCACGTAGACTGACTGTAAGATGCAGAAGGTCTGATTAGGGTCAGGAGGTTCACATATCCTTGTTTGCCTGGACAGTCCAACTTACGTCTGTTATCCGGGTGTGATTTTTTTTTTTTTTTTTTGAAACAAAGTCTCACTCTGTCACCCAGGCTGGAGTGCAGTGGCACAATCTTGGCTCACTGCAATCTCCGCCTCCTGGGTTCAAGCGATTCTTGTGCCTCAGACTCCCGAGTAGCTGGGATGACAGGCGCTCGCCACCATGCTCCTGTATTTTTGTATTTTCAAAATAGGTTCCACCACTTTGGCCAGGCTGGTCTGAAACTCCTCAGGTGATTAGCCCATCTCGGCCTCCCAGCTGGAATTTCACCCATGAGCCACCACGCCTGGCCGTGGCATGATTACTAACACTGGCCTTCACTCTCAAAGATGTCTTACTTTGGAGGATGATATGTATGGCCCCCCTAGTTATACTGCCCGTTCTAACCAACTGGGTGGCTTTGCACAGGTTAGTTAACTTTTACTGGGCTTAATTTCTCCATTTTTAAATTGAGGATGTTGACCTATGTGGGACCTCAGGTCTATTTGACTCTATTTTATGACCTGTGAAGAAAGCAGTGGCAGGTCTGAGAGTTGATGTGTCTGATAGTTAATACTCAGGAAGAAACAAATTCCTTTGCTAAAGAAATTTAGAGAAAAGCTGTCTTAAAACAAAAATCCCAGTGCTGCTTTCGGATCAGACTCTGATATGCTGGTATTTGCTAAGCTCTGTGTGAGTCACCCCTCTTGCAAGGGTTTGGCACGAACGGCAAAGCCTCTCAACCATCAGCCTTGCCCTGTGCAAGCCTCTAAGTTACATGCACGTTACAGCTCCTGTGGATAGAAGTGGGGGAAAGACAGTGGGGGAGGGGCACAAAGCAATGGCAGGAACCCACCGCAAACCTGGTAAGGCACCAACCTCGGGGTGAAGTGCTCGTGAGGCCACTGCGGAGGGGGCTGGGGGCCGCTTCGGGGAGTCCATTCATTCAGAATAATACACCTGCTAAAAGAGACACTTCACACCTGAGTTTCCAGGATATTTAAGATCCTCAAAAGTAATGTCAGAAATCTATTCATTACTTCAATATTTTGAAAATCCAGGTGGAAATTGCTCACCTGCCACCCTTACTTTCTTAGGTTATCCAGAACGTTAGATCCCTGTGCTTTCAGACAGAATTACGTGACTGCGTTTTGAGAATAATAGAATATGAAACATCAGCCGGCACAAGTAAGCCTGGTTAAGACGATTCGCTGATCACTGAAGATCCATTGAGCTGATTCATTTCATTCTGCCAGGCAGTTTTAACCACAGCAGTGTCTCCTGCAGTCCAGGTGCCGTGGAGAGCACCCTGCAAGTATTTTCTTTATGGTGGAGGCTTTGTAAGGAGAGTAAAGGGCTTTGTTGAGACCATCAGAAAGCAGCTGCAGTGAGAGAGACACAGACTGCTGTGTTACACAAAACATACCAAGATGACATTAGGTAGAAACCAGCACTAGACAGGAGTTTCTTCTGTGTGCTGTGCTCTCTAACTGCCCCTCCCAGGGTGACTGAGGGCATTACTTTTGTTTCAATGCCATTTCTTCCAAGAAACAGAAATTCCCTGGTGTGTGCCACGGGCCTTGCCCTGTGCAGCCTCCTCTGTAATACTTGGTTCTTGTTTCAGGGTTCTCACTACTAACTACAGAGAGTTCTTGAATTTTGCTCGTTTTCTCAAGGTGCAGTCACTACATACAAATCATTTTTCTATTGCTTTTCACACAATGTGCTCTGAAATTTGCTGGATGCCTGCTCCGCTAGGTGTCAAACTTAGTGTTTCTTGTAGAGTGAATCTGGCAAAGTAGGCAGAGGCCCTAGGGCAGGTTGTGGAGAGTCGTAACAGCTGAAAGTGGCGGAGCAAGGTCAGATTGGGCCTTGGGGGCCAGGCGAGGTTGAAGCTGGAAATTAGAGGAAACAGCGTATTCCAAGATACTTAATTAGAAGAGTGACAAAATAATTGGGCGCCAAATTAAATAGGAGTAGAATTACTGGGTCTTAAATAAAAGTGATATTTAAAGCTCTTAATGGGACTTACACTACAACGCATGACTCCAGGAAGAGGGGTATTTTCCCAGGGGGTCTGCAGGACTCTGTAGTGGGAGATATTGAGGACCTGGGAAATGGATTCTGCCTGGACATAAGCTTTGGAAACTTCTTCTTAAAATGCCCTCTTTGTGGTTAAAATCACACCTATTGGTGTTTTGAAGAACGAAGACTTTCTACACTAAAGAAGTCCATTTAATTGTGTCTGCTGCATGACCTCTCAAGGTTATTGGAGGGCAAAACTCCCGCTTACCTGTGTGTCGCACACAGAACACCAAGGAACGTCCTGCCAATCTCTGACTCAGAGGATCTTGTCCAAAAAGAACAACATAATTCAGCAAAAATGCCTTTTTAATGTTTAAACAAGTTGAAAAGAGATGAAATATTTATTGAATTCTTGTTAATAAGTATGAACGGTAGCTATATTTTCTGTATTTTATTTCTTCACTCCCCACAACACAGAGAAACATCATCCATAACTCATCTTTTTTAATTTTTTTGAGACACTGTCTCACTCTGTCGCCCACGCTGTAGTGCAGTGGTGTGATCTCAGCTCACTGCAGCCTCCACCTACTGGGTTCAAGCTATTCACCTGCCTCAGCCTCCCGAGTAGCTGGGAGTACAGGCAAGAGCCACCACGCTTAGATAATTACTTTTTTATTTTTATTTATTTATTTATTTTCCAGATGGAGTCTTGCGCTGTCGCCCAGGCTGTAGTGCAAGTGGTGTGATCGCAGCTCACTGCAAACTCCACCTCCTGGGTTCGAGCAATTCTCCTGCCTCCGCCTCCTGAGTAGCTGGGAATACAGGCATGCACCACCACTCCCAGCTAACTTTTTTGTATTTTTAGTAGAGACGGGGTCTCCCCATGTTAGCCAGGATGGTCTCGAACTCATGATCTGCCCTCCTCAGCCTCCCAAAGTGCTGGGATTACAGGCATGAACCACCGCATCTGGCCTATTTTTATTTTTAATAGAGATGTGGTTTCACCATGTTGACCAGGCTGGTTTTGAACTCCTGACCTCGTGATCTGCTCGCCTGAGCCTACTAAAGTGCTGGGATTACAGGCGTGAGCCACTGTGCCTGGCCCAACTTATCTTAATTGTGGAAGATCAGCATTCCTTTCTCTGGCTGAGCTAAATATCTCTGTTTTAATTCAAGCCCGATTCTTCCTGTTCATTTTCACAAACTTACGGAAAAAATGATCAGCTTCCCCTTTATGAAAATATATTACAATAATAATGAGAAAACTCTTCCTTTAACGTTTTTGGTTTTATTACTTACTTTTCACTTTGAATCACTTCAATCGCCTTTGCTTGAACTTTGACCAGCTTTCAATTCTCTTTCTTGTAATTACCCTAAGGCGGCTTTGAAGTTCATCAGAAAACCAGAAACAAAGGGAAAAGACTTCCTGGTAGGAAAGAAGCTGCTGAGTCATCGTCCCTGGAACAGAAAACACCAGCACTGTGTGGAAGTCAGGGCTTGGGAGGCACCTGCGCTCAGCAGGGCAGGGCCACCGGACAGGGGAGAGTCACACAGCTGCCCCAGGTTGCTTTGGGCCCTCTGAGGGGTAGTCCAACAAGATCCTCGTGTTGAAACCTTGTCTCCTGGCTACCCAGCGGGCACTGAAGCAAGCCAACTCTGCTCCACACACAGAGACTCCTTAGGGTTATTATGGGAAGCTAGTCAAAATGATGAAGTGGTACAATTGTTCTTCACAAGAACCCCATGTTCTTAATCTTAACACTCCAAATGGTGACATTTTAACCCAAGTGGAGGAAAACGCTGGTGTCAAACGCAGTCACATGTTTGTGGCTCTTTCTATAAAGCTTTAAGGCATCGTGTGCATGTTAATCTTCAATAAATGTGATTTACATAAGCAGTTGGCAGTCACGCACTACCTGAGCTTGTTCTGACAGGACAGGTGAGGTTTCTGGAGCCTAAGGACCTACATCAGCAAACCTAATTGTTTTGTCCATGGCTTTGTTGTAGACGAAGGCGCCATTGGGAAACGGGCGATGGCTTGGCATGTTTACTCTGGGTAGCCAAGTGACACCAGCCCGTGTGACTTAGGGGGAGTTGAATGGTGTCACACAGAAGGAACACTGCAGCACCCTCTGAATCACAAGGGCTAGGAAGTTTCCGAAACCGATTACTAAGAACTGGTTATTAATTAAACAGGAACCTAATTAATAAATTACTTATAAAAAGATATACTTTTAGAAATAAGTATAATTGATAATTTATTTTGTACTTTAGAAGGAATTTTATTGACTTTGAGGCTAATTGTTTTCTTGATGATCTCGACATTGAGAAACCATGGAGAATTAGCCACATGGATGCATTGCCTGTAATTTCTGACGCAGGCTCTGATTATTGATTAATGCAAGGTTTGGGAAAGGACAATGATTTTAAAGTTGATGGTCTCAGGCTAAATCCTGGCTCTGTTATGTCCCTGTTAAATGGCCTGATGAAACTTAATACATAACTCTTCATCAATACCGTTCAGAGGATTGGACCTTCCTCACATGGTTCCACGGAATTGGTGGACCGTACATGGAAGTTCCTGTTACAGTCGGCAGTTTCTTTGCTTTCTCTAATGAATTACTTTTCCCCCTTTATTTTCAGCTATCTTCTTTTCCTCAATTCTGAAACCGTGGGGTTGCTGAGCCACTCAGTGTGTTGGAAAACAGCTAAGGGTGTAGGCATCACATTCCTGGCAGTCTCCACAGAGGTATTTAGGAGGGAAGGTTACCTGTGTAGTAGCCTGAAGTCTACTACCCCCCAGTGATGTTGCTTCTCCAAGACAGTCTAGAGGAAGATTTTCTAAAGTAACCAATTTGATATTCCAGTTGTGCAGGTGGGCACTTACTTTTGCCCTTAAAACTCCATCTCTTGTGCTCTAAGGGTACCCTTGGGCTCCAGTGGTGGGAAACTTGTACCCATGCATCGTGAAAGAGACACATCAATCAATGAGAATTTTTCTCCTTATTAGAGAAGACAGGAGTTAAATAATGCATGAGGAAACTCCTTGCTGCCATTTTGATTTTAGAGAAACTGGGACTGTGGACTGTGGAGGGACATCTGCATTCACGGTGCAGCTGCACGTCTCACTGTACTGGTGTCCATTGCCCTGTGATTTTGCAATTCCTCTCCTTTAAGAGAAGGCCCCTTCCCTATCCTGAAGCTCAGCTTGGTCATGAGATTCATGGTGGCCAGAGAACGTTAGCAGGCCCGGATCAAGCAGAGGCCATAGGAAGCCTCCGTAGGTTTGTGTTGCCTCTCTCACTTCTCTGCAATCCCGAGAACGTGCCCAGACTAACCTAATCAAGGGATGGGAGAGGCATGTACATGTGAGCACCACGTGGAGCAGAGCCAGCAATCTCAGCCAAGAGCACAGCAGACAAGTCTGCAGACTGCTGACCCCAAATCAAGCAGCGAGCCCAGCAGGTTGCAAAGCTTCCACCTAATCTGAGGCTGGCCACACATGCCTGAGTGAACCCATCATCAGAGAAGAGAGTGCAATCTTCGATTGTCATTGTTTTAAGCCACTGCCTTTTGAGGTATTTTATTTTGCAGCATTGCTGGGTCAATAGATGGATGATACATATACTTTAAGAATACAAAAATACAAAGAATCCAAAATAGACTAGCGGACAATTATCCTGAGATGATTCACCATGGGATGAATCATAAAAACCATCAGCTCCTCTGAGGTCTGCCAGTCCTTCCACAGCATGCTCTTTGCAGCGAGAGGCAAACCTGTGCAGCAGCTTCAGATTCACTCTTCAGAATTCTTTCTGTTGTCGGAGCTAGAAGGACTGCCAAACAGAACCTTAGAACACTCCTAGCTCCCAATCACAGATATTTGAGGTAAGCATAGAGTGCCCTGACACGCCACGGCTAAGACCTTGTCTACACAGAACTACACGTAAGAAGTCACCACTTGTTTCCTTAACCACTATCGTAGGCAGGATAATAGCCCCTCGAAAATGCCCACATCCTATTCCCTGGAAATTAAGAACATGTCACCTCACATGGCAAAAGGGACTTGCAAATGTGATTAAGAATCTGGAGGTGGGGAGATCACCCTGGGTTGTTGGGTGGGCCCAACATTATCACATGGGTCCTCACGAGAGGGTGGCAGGAGGGTCAGAGTCAGAAGGAGATGTGAGGATAGAGGTCAGAAGGAGAGAGGGCACCACACTAGTGGCTTTGATGATTTAGGGGGGGACCTGAGCCCTCCTAAAAGACGCCCAATGGGAGATTGTCCCCAGAGCCTCAGAAGGAATGCAGTCCTATGGACCCTTTTAGACTTCTGACCTCCAGAGCTTTAAGGTAATATATTTGTGTTCCTTTAAGTGACAAAGTATTTGGTAATTTATTACAGAAACAGGGGAAAGCGAATACAACCTGATCCGTATTCTCAGGTGTTTGTAATAGGAACTGTGAACTTCCCTGAAGCGCCAGGGGCTTGCCTGAACACTGGGCTGAGAGATTCCACTGCACCTCAGCCACGCGTCCAGAACTGCTCTCAGCTGTGTCCCTAAGTGACCCAGCCACCGTGATGAGTCCACTCAGGAATCCCAGTGCTGCCAAACTGCAAAATGTACTCAGTCCCAACCCACAACAACAATTGCTTCTGATAATTTCCGCTCACTCCCTCGGGCATTTTCTGTTTCCACATAGCCCCCTCTTTGGGTTCCCCACTGTACCCCCAGCCCCTTTCCTGTTTGCCCTTTTTCACTTCCTCATGGCCCCTTATTGGTTCCTCTCTGTTCTCCATTTAGAAACCTCAGTTACCTTAGTCTTAGATGGGTTGAGCTCCGAGCTTACTGGAGTGTCTCTCCCCACTGCAGTAGTCTGAATAAAATCTGTCGTGCCACCTTTAACAAGTCTCTGGTGTTGTTTCTCTTCGATGGTAAACAATTTATAAAAGAGACAAAGGCCCTCAGCCCAGTACCCGATTGTTAGTAGGCGACGTGCACACGTTTATTACCTTAAAGAGTGTGTTCTTGTGCCCATATGGCCAGATCTCTGGACAGACTCACCTTAGATCCTGCTCCGTCTCCTTTCCCTCCTACTTTCAGATCTTGACAACTGTTAACTGGTGACCAGTGGTTCTCTTCCAGAGGTTGTGGAATTTTCCCCACACTAGCAGTTAAGAAAGGGACACCAGCAATGGTAACTGGACAACTCTAAAATTACAGGGGCTTTGCATAACAGAAGTTTTATTTTTCATTCATATAAATTCCAAAATGGGTGTTCCTAACCAGCAGGGAGACCCTATGACAGGCAGGCTTTCAGGGCCCCCCACCTGACTTTATGTGGGTCTACTGAGAACACAGAGAAGTCAGCTCTGTTGACACGCGGCAGGCAGGTGAGCTGAAAGCCAGAGTGGAGGGTCCGGGGGGAGGTCTATGTGGCTGGTGCTGGCCGTAGGTGCATCACCCTGTGTGTGCTGTGTTGCCTGGACCCAGCTGCCTGCCTTCACGGATGCAAGGTGAGCTGGCAAATGCGGTCCCTCATGGAGCAGTGACTTTTCAGCAAAATATCTGCATTTTGAAAGGGGAGCATAAGACATTGGTTGAAAGTTGGTCATCTCATTCCTGCCCAACACACAACAGGAAATACTTAAATATGAATGATGATCAAAAATGATTTGCTGGATTAAGGATAATCAATACAGCAAATAGAATCTGGAAATAGCTGCCGTTGTTTTTACCACATTAATGTTTCTCTTGCTTCTACTCAGTTTGCTTTGCAGCCACGTGATGCGACCTTTCTGAAACCACACTGGGACCATCTGCGTCCTAGAGAAGCCGAGCGATGCCTTCCCATGGTCAACAGTACCCCCGACTGAACGCTGAACACCTTCTTACTGCTTAGTTCTCAGTCCACCCAGCAAGAACCTGCCGAGGCAAACCCAGGAGTGTTCTAACTGGTATGTTCTCGTGGAAACCGTTAAGCTCTCTGCATTAAGGACAAGCACATATGTTCACGTCAAATGTTCTCTTGCTATTCCTTATGGAAAGAGCATCTGTTTGGATATTGTAAGACCGTTTGAACAGAGGGAAGACACCCTCAGCTGTCCCCATGCTCTGGCGGAACACCCTGATTAAAGTGCTGGGCGCAGCTGCCTGTGGTGGGGACACCTCCCTTGCAGGAGTGGATAGAAACAGTTGATGGCTGTTCACAAGCCCTGCTGAGAGGCGGCAGGGCTCATGGTAGGTCAGACTCAGAACCAGAGGGGCCTCAGAAGTCACCTGGCCCAGCCCCTCATCACAAGGTGAGGCAATCCGAAGGGTGATCTATTTTAGTCACCGAAGCACAGCTAACCTACTACGGATGCCTTGTTAGGCTAAACCCATGATTATTGAGAAGCCAAACAGGTTAAGTGGAGCTTCTGCTGTTCCACCAGCACAGACCCAATGTGAAAGGTTCTCAGTGTCCAGCACAGACCCAATGTGAAAGGTTCTCAGTGTCCAGCACAGACCCAATGTGAAAGGTTCTCAGTGTCCAGCGCAGACCCAATGTGAAAGGTTCTCAGTGTCCAGCGCAGACCCAATGTGAAAGGTTCTCAGTGTCCAGCGCAGACCCAATGTGAAAGGTTCTCAGTGTCCAGCACAGACCCAATGTGAAAGGTTCT